CTGGAGAGAGAGAGAGAGAGAGAGAGAGAGAGAGAGAGAGAGAGAGAGATCCACTCTAAAACATAATATAATCCAATAGATCAGAAATAACATCTCAATGCACGATCAAATATATTTCTTCCCCCTCCTTCTCTGATCTTGTTGCATGATCAAAATAAATAAAATAAAAGCCAGATCTTAGGACACGGGTTCACGATGTATTTACCAACCATAAAACAACTGGAGTCCAACAGCAAGGCAAGGGGCAGAATTCCAGCTTCCAGTGTCCCTCTGACTCATACGTTTTGGCCTTCCCACTCGTACTCTGTCCAGGCTTTTCCTGGCCTTGGCTATTGAAGGTCTGTGTGTGATTTAAAGCTACCTCAGATACCGTGAAGTCAGAGCCCACCTTGATTCTGCAGTAACCAGATATCGGGCTGGGCTCAAGTCAGTGTTAGTTCAGAATTACTCCATGCCCAAACCAGGCGTGCTGACACCTGCCTGTAAGTGCAGAGCTGGGACACGGAGGCAGAAGATCAGAGCTCAGGGTTGAAGCCAGTCCAGGGTGTCTGAGACTGTCCATTTCCTTTTATTCTCAGCTTAAATCCCGCGTGCTGTGTCCCTGTGATTAATCCAAAAGCCTTACACCAAAACATACCAGCGACAAGGGACACATTTGTGCAAGAGTAAAGTGAAAACATAAAAAGTATAGGGTATCTATCCAATTCTCAGACCAAAGAGTGATTCCCTGTACTACAATCAGGAGGATGGCAGAAAATGCCTCCTGAAAATACCGTGACCGCCGTGGGGCACATACCTCTAGTCCCAGCTGGATAGGCAGAGGCAGAAGGATTTGAAGTCAGAGGCATGTCTGGGCTACAGAGTGAGACCTAGTCTCGGAAAAAAACAGACAAGTAAACAAGTGATCACACTGTGTTTCTGTGCCCCATGGCAACCCCTCCTTTTCTCTCTCTCTTTTTCTCCTTAGCTGGATGCTATTTCTGGGCAGCAACCCCGGGGATGCACGAAGGTGCTAAATGAGATGTGACCATTTGCAGGGAAGCCATCACTCCTCGTTCCACGTGGAAGGTCCCTGTCAGCAGCTAGACTCCCAAGGTGTCAACATCCAGCCCCAGGGCTCCTTTCTCATTATTTGCCGCAATTCTACCTATTAATGCACCATTTGAATTCTACCTTAATACTGAACCATTCATTCTCTTTGGGAGACTGAATTTCAATAGCCTCCTCTCTGCCCGTTTCCCTCAACTGTTGAAATCTTCAGTGATCTGGCCTGTTCCTGGAATGTAGCAAGCGATCCTCTCTCATCACAGCTCCATCTGGAAGCTCAGCTTCCTCCCCAGGACACAATGGGCCGATTCTCTCTGTGTGTGAACGGTGTTAATATGGGATGGTATTGAAGTACAGAGAGGACGTAGGGCTTCTCTGATGGATCGCTATGACCCAAGGGTGGGGTCCGGCCCCCTCCCAGCTCTTCCTGGCTCTGGCTACTCTGTGGAGTGAGACGGAGACTGTTTTCATATTCACAGACAGGTTCCTCCAAGTCCGGCCTTCTACCCTGCTCTAGATGGGATCGGCCCTGACTGGAGTTCCATTTCTGTTTCCATTTCTGGGAAGGTTTTCCCTGGAGAGCAAAATGGGGAGTGGTGCAGGGTTTGTCTCCCTTCACCTGCCTTCCTATCCCCCCACCCCAGTGCACCCCTCCCTTCTCTCCCCTCCCCCTCTTCAAACAGAAGCCTCCTGGCTTTCCTCACAGCTGGTTTTAACCTGGTGATGGAGTTGGAAGTGACTTATTGCTGTGGGCTGATGTTTCTGTCCTTGGGGTCACAAGCTGAGCCTTTAAGCCATGCTCAGTCTCAGCCCCCTGTGTCTATGTTTAGCCCCCGTGGCAGAGTCTGCGCAATGACAGAATGGCAAACTGGAATTCCAAATAAGGCCAGGCTTTAAGGAAACTCAGCAGACAATTGTGTGGAATCATAAGAAATATATATAGAGAGAGGTGTGGGTGGAGCCCCCAGGGCAGGGAGACCAGATGAGGTCCTGAGTCAGGGTGATGAGTAACTTGATTGGCATTAGGGGTAGAAATGAGGCAGACGCCACGACATGTAGGCTGAGGCCGAAGAAGAGGAAGATGATAGCTGGCTGGCACCTGACCAAGGAGTCTAACACAGAGCTCAGCAATTGAGAGACGGCTCACGGTTCTGAGCTTACACGAACATACTGCTTTTCCAGAGGACTGGCGTTCAGCTCCCAGCTCCCTATCTCTGCAGCACTGGCCCACATGTCCCGAGTGCTGAGGATTTGAAATGCTGCATTTCTGGGGAAGCCAGAGCACCCATGCACCCTCCCTCCCCGTCCATACACATAGGATCAGGCAGTAGGAGCCCAACGACTCCTGTTCTCACTGGCTGTAAGAGGGTGAGAGAGAGCACCAGAGGCTACTGATGGGCAGAGGAAAAGAACCATTGTAGGAAGCATCTCTGGTAGTTTGGGCGGCCGGCCTTCTTCCAGTCTCACTCTGCCAAAAGAGAACAGGGGCACAAGAGCAACCACTAGCCACCCACCCCATTGCTCAGCTTCCCAAAGAACTTCTGAGGATGAGGCCGTTGTCCATCCAGAAGGGACTTTCTGGGGCCAGAGCAGTGCGGACCGCAGCCCCTGTGGGCGAGTGAAAGGAGAGCATTAGTGTTTCCAGTTTGTCAGTTACAGGATCTACTGTTCCCTCTGCTCTTGTTCCTAGTGACTCTAAAAACCCTAAACTGGTTCTTCTAGGTAGGTTTGTCTGCTGTACTACCACCTACAAAGACAGAATCTGTCTCCTCAAATGTCACCGTGTGTCATTGTCATTGAGTGTGCTCTCACAGTTAGTGCTCAGTATCAATTAATAATACTGTTTTTAAAGATGTATAATCAAACGTGTCATAGCTCACATTGTCTTACACACACACACACACACACACACTCATATGAAGGTGGGAGGAGAGACCCGACTCCATAGACTTGTGCTTTAACTACACTCATGTACACACAGACTACACTCCCTCACATACATCATGTACAATAATAACAATAAGTGAATTGATAGTTTTAAAAAATAAGAAGCTTTATTATTCCAACAACAAAGCTGCTGGAATACTTAGTGTTTGATGATCTTACAATATTTATGATGCAGGAGTGAAAAAAAGACTTGGATTTTTGATTGATTGCTTTTTGGACAGGATCTCACTATGTAACCCTGGCTGTGTGCCTCACCACTCGTGGCTGAAGGTTTCTTTTCTTTAACAGTATTTAAAAAACTTGATGTGTTTGTGTGCTCGGGTGCGTGTGGGGGCCCACAGAGGTCAGAAGAGGCCCACAGGAGGTTGTGAGCCCCGTGACAAGATTGCTAGGAGCCAGACTCCAGTCTTTCTCCTAGCCACTGAGCCATCTCTCCAGCCACTTACCTGCCAGACTTGGGTTTCAACTCATGCTTTTGATCTTGGGGAAGACACTGACCTCCACTCTGCTCCCATTTCCTCATTTGTAAACAGGATAGTAGTTCCCACCATGGGGTTGTTGGAAGGAGTGCATAGTAGGTGTTAGGAAACATCAGCACGTAGTAGGTGTAAGGAAACATCAGCATAGCTTTGGAGCCTGTTCTGGAACTTGCTCTGTAGACCAGGCTGGCCTCGAACTCACTTAGATCCACCTACCTCTGTTTCCCGAGTGCTGGGATTAAAGGTGTGAACCACCACCGCCTGGCTTCATCTGTCTTTCTAATGCATAACTTTGTGCTCTTATTTTATTCCAAACCTTGTTTTTGTAAATATTCCTGAAGTGTTCACTGGGAGCCAGCACAGAAATGAAGCAGGCACAATGAGTCACAGAGTCCAAGAGTTTGGGCTCTGGTCCTGGTCCTCCATAGGCCCTGGACTCTCCCAGCTTTCTTTGGGGGAGGTGAAAGTAGAGGAAGAACACCCCCACACCTCCCCCCCCCCCCCCCCCCCCGTCTATAGGTCTAGCCTCTCAAATGTAAATGCTCTTGTCTTGGAGAAGAAAGAAGAATGTTGTAGGCACCTGGAACTGTTTTTGACCTTGGGCACTGAGGGGGCCCCTCTGAAGTCTGGGTCATGAAGAATACCTGCTCAAAGAGCTCCTGCAAGGACGAAATGAGTCCGGTATGAGAAGCAATTAGGATGCTTCGGATAGGCAAGGAAAGTTAGCAGTGGGTTTTTCACTGCTTCTGCTAAAGTTTATTGCTTTTGTTTCTTTTTTAAAAAATCACTAAAGGTGCTGGAGAGATGGCTCAGCAGTTAAGAGCACTTGCTGCTCTTGCAGAGGATCTGGGTTCAGTTCCAAGGACCCACATGGTGGCTCCACGACTGCCTGTAACCCCAGTTTCAGAGATTCAATGTCCTCTTCTGAATTACATGGGTACTGTACCATATGCATGCATGCAGTCAAAACCCTCATACATAGAAGATAAAAATAAAGTTGTATTAACTTGCTAAATAAACTTTAATTTCTATAGGCTCTTTTCACTTATTGGAGAACCAGTGCCTGTTATATAGAGAGAAAGGAACCCCAAATCTATTATCTTAGAAGTAATTTAATCATTAGCTGTGCAGAAGTCTTTAAATTGTGCAGCTAATCACCAGCCTATTTAAGAAAAGGCAATTACCTCGGTCTCTTTGGGCCACTGCCGCCCTGCCGTCCTGCCGCCCTGCTCGGGTTGCATTCTTGTTCTCTGCTCCCTGCTGGCATTAGGAACAGTCCACCCAAAGGATCCTCACGCTCACATCCTCTGTGGCCATCTCGTCACTGCTCTCACCGACTGTCACACTTTCAAATGATGTCACGGCTTTCATTTCATTAAAAGCATAGAGAGTGACCATCTAACACAACTGGGGGTTACTTGCTACTATTAAGAATTTTATTGGGTTTGGGTCAGCGGCGACTATTTCAGTCACAAGTGGCTTGCAGCAGCGGGTCGGTGGCAAGTGTAGCGCTTGCGGGTGTACGTGATGAATTTACCCCTCAATCCCAAGCCTTTTCTCAATGGGATAACAGGAAAGTCAGTGGTGGCGAAACTCAAGTGGGGAATGGAAGATAAGGGCTACCTGGTCTCTGTAGATGGCCACGTGAACATGCAGCTTGCAATTACAGAATACATAGATGGTGCATTGCCTGGACATCTGGGTGAAGTTCTAATAAGGTGCAGTAATGTCCTTTATATCAGAGGTGTTGAAGAAGAGGAAGACAGGGAAAGTGAGAATAGCATCTTTGGGTATATCCATATATATGTATGTATTTCTATACAATAAAATTTGTTTTTTTTTTCAAAAAAATTTATTAAACCCACAGTTCTGTTTTCATAATTTCCATTTTACACTTGATGATTTGAGATGAAATTATGATGAAATAGAATTTCCCCACCATGGTTGGAATGTTACTTTGTCAGCATTGTTCAGAAACAGTCATACACATATGCTTACAGGGAGTCTCAGGTGAGGGAGGTATGTCTTCAGGGACACCCAACAAACCAAGCCTGGCCACCGGACTCCAAAAGAAAATGGCAAGAGAGACAATGAAGAGACAGGGAAATTGATTCATTACGGTCCTATGTGGAAGCCAAGGGGTCAACATGTGGAGCTCTGTCTCTAGGAAGTACTGACCATGGCCTTCAGGTGAGGTAGGGAAGATCTGGAGCCGGGAGCAAAAGTCTTGGCCAGTGTGGTGCCTGAGTCCTATCTCCAGCTGCCTCTTGCAAGGCTCCTGGGAACCCTTATCACTTAAACAGCCTGTTTGGTCTCCAGCATGAGATGAGATGATTTCTCCTGTCTTTGGGCAGGCACCTTGTCTCTTTCATGAGCTTAAGGGACCAGTCTTATCATGGGTTAATCTGCCTGCAAGGCTCCACTATTCCTGGAACCCAAATTGACTGCAGGAATGATGCCATTTGGTGGCCTAGAATAGGATGTTGTAAAAGCCAGTACCATAATTATGATGTTTCTGCAAGTCTTGAAAGTGCCTCAGTTCTTCTTATCTTGGTGTCTTCATCCCTGAAGGTGAAGATTACCAGCTTCAGAAGAACACTCCTAAAATGATTGGCATGATTGGCGTGCTTACCTTTGGAGCTGAGGAACAGTCTGACCCAGTTTTAAGGTAGGACAGGAGGCAGAAGATAAAGGCAGAGAAACCAAGCTCTCTGCTGCTTTAAATCGCCCACTGGGCATCTGCACACCAAAGTGAAACAGCTTCTACTCAAAAAGGATGTAAAGAAGACAGAGTAACCATTTATTGGTTAGCCAGTAAAAAATCTGTCCAGTGTTTTAAGACGGCGTCCTGAAAGCCTCTCAGCTCCCTCCTCCCTTAACTTCACCTTTCTTACTATCCTCCTAAGAATACTTTCTTTAGGGGAAGAAAAGGGATGTTGAGACAGGGTGTGGCTCTGTAGTCCTGACCTGACAGGCCTGTAAGTGATGTGACGACCATGCTGACCTTGAACTTGACTGTGCTGCCTCAGCCTTCTGAGCGCTGGCCTCACAGGTCAGAGCCTAGTCAAGCACACTTTACGTAAGACATTATTTCCACTTAGAAATTTTCTGCATACAATATACTTGTGCATTAAAGTGATAAATGACTCCAATTATGTAAAATGTCTTAAAAATTGTAACCTTTATCTACCACCTAGCTTCCTTTTCCCAGAGTGCTTTAAGCAAACACACTGTAAATGCTCCCTATGGCCTAACTCATCCATCATAGTGGCGCCGTCAGCTGTACCACGCTTCTCCAGCTTCAGAACTTCCCATCAGCACTCAGGAGCATCTCTAATCCCCCGATCCAGAACGGGAGAAGGGTGTGCAGCGTTCCCTCTGTAACTATAGCAGGCCTTCCGTGAGCAGACTCTCCACCTCCCTTAGCTGGGCAAGGGCTCATCAGTGACACATCAGTTCTCCCAGCCAGCAGTCAATTATTCCTATTGTGTTCTCGGGAGTTCTGATGAACTGCCCGGACCCTGAGCGGTGGTGCTCGGGACTGTTGGAGCATGCCGTCAGCCGTGACAGATGGTTGGAGCTGGGGAACAGTGGGCAGAAAGCTGGAGGGTGGACTCGGACAGCAGCCAGAGGAACTCAGACTCCTGTCAGCAGGGAGTGGCTGAAGCCTTCTGAGCAAGGAGACACCATAGAAGGCGTTGGAGTCACCCTCGAACACACTGTGCTGCTCTGGTTGGACAGACACGGAGAAGCAGAACAGTCAATTCGAACACTACTAGAATCATTTAGTTGGGGGCAGTGGGGTCCAGGGCTTCAGTGACAATGTGACAGTGTGGCCGTTCTGAAAGCAAACCAGACAGGACTTGGTGACTAAACTGATGTGGAGATCAGAGGGAAGGTGAGCCTGTGATGACGATATGGTTTGAGCATGTCCCAGGGAGTGGTAGCACCCCCAGTCACATGGAAGTCAGGAAGAGAATCAGACTCCATGGAAGGAAGATGGTGAATGTGGCTTCAGACATGCTGGAGGTGAGCCCCAGGTTAAGGTGGTAAGTTGAAGATTTAGTCAGGGCACAAGTAGAATGATGGGGTTGGAAACAGTGTATACAACATGAGCATCCTCGTCTGAAACACTTCGGAACTTTAAGTTGACATGATGCCACAAATGGAAAATTCTATACTTGACCTCCTGTGATGAATCTCAGTCAAAACACAAGTACTCTAAAGATATACAAGATCAAGTCGGGTAAGGCAAGCATGAAACATAAATGAATTGGTGTCTCAACCTGGGTTCCATCCTCAAGAGAGCATTGTGTATGTGTAAATATCCAAAATCAAACAGTCTGAACCCCGGCAGGTAAGGGACACCCAAACACGGTGAATGCACCCCAAATCCAGCGGCTTTCTCTATGCCCATCGCCTAGCACTAGTGAGGAGCCCTTCTTGGCCAGTCTGCTTCGTCCATATTTTATACTCCAAGAATTCTGAAGCAAGTTTCAGATATGGAAATAGGAAGGGAAGCATGAACCACAGAAAAAGGAGATTTGAAAAGTCTCTGAGAATCATAAAGCAAACCTCATTTTCCAGGCGAGGAAAGCTAAGAATTGGGAAAGCAATTAATTTATGCTAGTTGAAAAACTTGGTGAAATTCTGCAATTGGAAGCTAATTATTCACAAGCAGTTTTACTAAGTTTCCTCTTCTAAGGTGGAAAGAGAAAAATAAAGACAGGTGAAATCGTCATAAACTCAAATTCATTTTAAAGGCTGCTTTTTGTCTCACTTCTTATTTGTGATCTGGTCCAAAAATACCACAAATACTGCATTTTATAAAATAACTCTTGGCACCAACAACTGAATTGGAGAAGTGTGTTTACTTAATTATCATTGGCTGGTTTTCACACCGTGACCTTGGGCCTCTGGGGTCACTGTAAGTGAGGCTGGGAGACAACAAAAGAGGGCTATCTGTGTGGAGTCGGTTTACTTCAGGTTGCCAGGAAAGTCACCTCGTGTGACTTGTTACCCCTGGCACCATACCTATGCTAATGGAGGAAATTTCATGTAGTCTGTGGAAAACAGAAGGGGGGGATAAAATATGCTAATAAGAACCCAGAGCAGAGTCGTCCCCCCCCCCCCCGCCCTGCGCAGTGTTTGCCCCCCACCAGAAACAGTGAGGCCTCTTTGGAACACTTTGGAAGTTAGTAGGCTTAGCTTAACTTATTGCATTCCGAGGATAGTGTGGGCTGTAGGTGAACGATATGGCGATGTTTTCTATAAGGTGTTCTGAAGCCACACATTAGAAAGGCCCTTCATCTTTCTGATTTGGGGAGTGCGCTTGGCTTCAGGAACACTAGTCGAATGATCTACAGCATCTGATAAAGAGGCTCCTGAGTAACTCACAGTCTAAAAGTCACTTACAGCTATGCTGTTTACAACGGAAAAGCTGTTTGCTTCAACTCTGCAATAAAACAACCAAGGAATCGGTTCTGCACCTTTGTCGGGTAATTACCGGAAAAGAAATGGCTGCATATATGTTAGTTATTTCAGCTCATTTGTATTTTGAACCGTACAATAATTTCTACAAAACTACTGAAATATTTATAGTGTAGTTCCTTCTTGCCATTTCTGAGCAAGATCTGTCCCTGTGCACTCACTCTTCCTTCTTGTTTTGCTTGGCGTGTTCTTTCTTGCATGGAATAATGACAGTAGATGGTAACTAAAAATACCTGCCCTACCCTGCCCTGGCTACTGATGGATTCTGGAGGGGGGAGGGTCATCGTCTTGAGCTGTGTCCCAGTGCTGAGCTCACCAAGCTCCGATGGGTAGTTGCAAACCCACAACCCCACAGATGGCCTGGGTAAACTCAGAGGGACACAAACAGACCTAAAGTTGAGACTGTGGGAAGGAGACTGGTAGGGAGGGGGTGAGGGTAAGAGTAACCAGAAAGTACTGTATGTGTGAAGCTGTCACAGAACAACGTAACTAAAATAAATACCAGCAATGCTCTGAGCAGCTTCCTTTGTAAAGTTTAATGTTCTGGTCTATGTAAGAAGAACCACAGCACTGCCGCGCCTAAAGACAATGGAGTAAAAAAGGAGTAGAAGCTATAGAAAAATGGGAAGCAGAAGCCAAGAGCTGAGATTTGGAGCAGGAAGAGCTTCAAGGTTTCACTGTGAGGACCAGCAGGGGAACTGCACCAACAGTGAGCTCTTTTCCTCCTCCGCTGCACTCTCAGCTACCTCCACACAATGAAGTAGTCAGCTTACAGCGGGTCCTAAGGAGATCAGCAGCCAGCTGCAAGGCCGCTGGAACACAGCAGTGGGACAGAAGCAACCGAGTACCAGTGAACTACTTGTGGTATTGTTTGTTCAAATACAGTTTCATCATTTGCTGTTGCTTTGTTTGATTTTTAAAAAAGGGTCTCACTTTGTAGGCCAAGCTGGCCTTAAACTGGCAGTGATCCTCCTGTCTCAGACTGCTAATTCCTGGGATGACAGGCATGAATGAGCTACTTACTACACCTGACTCTCCGAGAAGGGTTGATTCAGAAAGCCATCTTACTTTTTTGGCTACCCAATTTTCCTTAAAACAACTTTGAATCTAGTTTAAAACAAAACAAACAAGCAAACACGACTCAGCTGTCCCGCTGCCCAGAAATTATGGGCACTTAGCTCACTCTTGCAGCATCCTTGCTGTGGGTAGCACTTGGGACTCTGAATCCTTGGCTTCCCAGGCTCCCTTGAGGTTATGCATATATACACATGCATACAGACACAGAGTCCAAGGGACGCACACTGGGTCAGGCACTCGTTTGTGACAGCTCAGGGAAGATGCTTTAGCTCAAAGTTCCACCTCAACGCCTGTATGACTACTCCTAAATATCCCCCATCAAACGCGACTGGTTTTTAATGAAAAGAAAGCCAATGGCCCCAGAGGTTCATACATTCGACTGCTTGATCTCCTGTTGGTAGAACCATTTGGGGAGGAAGTTTTAAAAGTTGCTAACCAAGCCAAAGGGAAAGCAACTGGGAACAAAACTAGACTTTTTTTTTTTTTTTTGATTTTCGAGACAGGGTTTCTCCGTAGCTTTTGGTTCCTGTCCTGGAACTAGCTCTTGTAGACCAGGCTGGCCTCGAACTCACAGAGATCTGCCTGTCTCTGCCTCCCGAGTGCTGGGATTAAAGGTGTGCGCCACCATCGCCCGGCCAAAACTAGACATTTGTACTTCTTTTCAAAACACTTCGGAGTTTCAAGTTGTAATCATTCACTTTCTTCCTAACCATCCGACAAGGACTCAAGCCTCTGTGTGCTTCCGGTGCTGCTGGGGCAGGGCAGGAGCCCGTGCTGGGGAGGGAGGGTCCTGCCCTGACAGCAATAGCTCTGGGAACGACCTATTCAACAACAGAGAACGCTGGTCAGAGGACACAAACTGCATTTTTTTTAAGCAATTTATCTTCTGATTTTATTTTTAATAACACAGTTGTGAATTGAAATAAATAGACCATTGCTGTACAAATTTTATTAAATTTAAAAAAGATCTTAAAGATTCTTCTGTTCCTTGTAGTTTTTTTTTTTTTTTAACCTTTTATCCCCCTAAGAAAAACTAACAATCCTGGCTGTCCTGGAACTCACGCAATAGACCAGGCTAGCCTTGAAATCATAGAAATCTGCCTGC